GCGCACTCTCTCCCCAGAGGGATGTGCTCTACTCACCTAATCCCGGACGGTTTAGAAGCAGGTTGGCCAGAGCTGGTTCCACGGTTTGGCAGAGGAATGTTGGATTTGAATCAGCCCTCTGTGGCAGTTTCGGTAGTCCCGATCCTGAGTCAAGCAAGTTATAGTACTCCAGGGCATTGCTGGTGATAGAGCAGTCAGTCTGGCTCATCGGCAGGACCTCGAGAGCCAGACTGGGAACGGGGATCCTTCTCACTCAGCTCCTGTTAACTCTGTTAAGGTAAACCTGTTAAGTCAAAGCTCTAATGGGAAGGGTGGTCCTAGCTGGGAAGCAGTGGGAAGCTTAGTTGACAGTGCTCTCAATAGCAAGCTATGCATTCTTATCTGGTTAAACATCCTGCGGTGTCCAGTGTATATTCTATATAGTCCTCAAGCATTGGCACTTGCCAGCCTACACCCAATACTCTCTGGGGTTAGGTAAGAGTGGTGTGTCACTCCAGGGAGAGAGTACACACTCCATTCCACATACAGCAAAACTGTTTCAGACATGGACTTCTTCTGGCTGTGCCTCACACTGTGAACACAGAATTTTCTGTCAGGCAAATTTGGAGAGAATTATTTCCACTGAGAGAAAGCGAAAATGAACGTGATAGTAAAATATTTTTTCTCTGATTTTGTGAACCATTCCTCATCTTAAAGCTTTTTCGGCAGTTCAGCAAATACACCATTGTTGATACATCTGTGAATTCGTCATTGAGAAGAATAATGCAATATGGACTGGCTCAGTCTTATATTTCCTTGCAACTGATGTTTTCCTGTGACAGGAAGGGATTTATTTTAACTGAAGAATAATATACAGCTATGATTTTGCAGGCTATTCATTTTCATATTTATATTTTAGCATAATATAAAGTGTTATAAATTAAAACAATTACTATGTAGCTGCTCATACAGCATAATTGATGTGTTAGCTCAGGTTATTTCTAACAGTGATAAAATGAACACAGCAGGACAGTGAAGGCCCAACATGAAGACGGTAAAGATGATGATGTTAATTATAGAGTCCAAAGCGAATAGCTCAGGAAGCCATGTTGGTTAGTCTCAATTTTCAGATTTTTATTATTAGTATTCAATGAAATTGCTATTTTTGGTTTGGTACAATTTTCTTAAATTTTTCAGCTGGATAATTCAAGTTTGCCTTTTAATATTATGTTATTAGCTAAATAGGTTAATTAGCTATAATTCCCTCTTCCCCAACTTTTTAGATTGGTTTTCACTTCTCAGAACAGCCACAATATTTGGCATCAGTGATGTTGGTAGATTACAACCTCTTCTGCATAATAACAGTAGGGCTACATTAATGATAGATATGCAAACCATGTTATGAAAAAGTTCATTGATCGAGTAACTTGCAATCATGGATTGCTGAACATTTGCGCTCAGCCAGATGGCTCCAAGTTGAAAGTGAAAACACACTCAGTTTATCCAAGTGCAAGCATCCCTTGACTTGTTATTTCCTTACAAGTTTTCTTCATTTTAGTGAGTATTAACCATAGTGCAATGATGATTCAAATGTTACTAGAAAGGATAATATAGTAGTTTTAAATAGGTGAACTGTGGGCTACATCTGGCCAGGCAGCGCCTTGGGATGAACTCCCAATGTGAAATGCACTATACAAATGTAATTTTGTTGTGTATTTTGTATTGTATATAATTTTCTCTTCTGTTTCCAACTTGCTATGTACCAAGCTTTTAAAATATATGTTTCCTTATTTTAATCAGTGAATGAAACAATGGTGAAGTGTTTTAAACTTTATTGTCCTTACTGGGATCCTAAAACCACAAATATTTATGCCCAAAAGGTGCACTTCTAAACATTCACCACTTGGGAGAGTTGTTGCTCATCAATTGTTATGAGCTTTGGCCATCAAAACAATACTCTGGATAATACTTTATCTTTGAAGAATCATAAGGGGGGAAATGATCACATTTAATATATATTTTTTAAATAATGGATCCATAAGCAATTTTTTTTAACTCATTGCATGGCTGTTGAAAAATGATACTGTACAACTGTCGTTAGTGTTATCTTGGTAGCACTGTTGATGTTGTTTTATATGGTGTTGGAGCACCAGAGTACAATGCCATGACATTTTAGGGCTCAGATTTAATGTTTTTCTAATTTCAGCCATATCTCAAAAATGAGTGGAGTCCTGTAGTGTTAGAGCACTCGCTTCACAAGCGAGAGGACCCGGTTCGATTCCTGGGTAGGACCTTAGGCTAGTTTCCTTACTCCACACACCTCTGTTTACCTAGGAATAAGTAGGAACCTGATTGTTAGTCGATTGGCAGATTGCTTTTTTTGGGTAATCCCTCAAAAAAAAATCCACGACTGTTTGTGGGACACTGCTGTGCGCAATTGGCTCCTGTGTTTCGCCCATAAAATACTCGACGAATCCACTTTACAATATATTCTGTGAAGCGCTTTGAGACATCACAATGA